CTGCAGATAACAGTCAGCTGAAGTGGCCTGCAGTACTGCACCCTAACCACTGCGCCACCTCGGCTCCTCGGAAGACGGCAATTCTTCCTTACATTCCTTAATTTTTTCATAATGAAGATTTTCCTTAACCTTCCCACAAAAACAAAGTCAATCTGGTACTGTGCAGCAGCAAACCACCATCTTGCTCACTATAAGAACTGAAAGGCTGGGATCAACAAGAAATCAAAATTATTTGAAAGAGGAATAACTATTTACAAATAGTCAAGAAGCAAAAGAGTGTAGGTATCAGGTTTGAAAGTATCTTGTGTGCCTTTTTCACTTATGAAATCCACTTCATGATTTCGTGATAGGAAAGCGCGCTTAATATGTAATACCTTGCAACCCTTCATCTGACAACTTGATAGAAACATTTGTGTTCAAAATATTAAGATCTTCATGGAAGGCTACCTTGAAGTTGATTCTGTAGCTTCTTTTTTTCAGGATCATCTGATTCTCCTTCCCCATCACTATCATTCCTAATTTGGGTGTAAGTAAAGCACACAGCTAAAACAGAGATAAATCATTTTGCTCAAATCTGATTCATTTCTAACACAAATAGTCTTCCCTTAGAGAACATACCAAAAAATACCGTAAGTTTGGGTTATTATACATCTTAAAGTATATTATTACCAAAGGAATAACAAGTTATTATAGACAAGTTATAATTTAGTCTTTCTTAAGTAGATTCTTACTCTGACCTGGCCACTTACTCTTCTAACACCCACCTCCCAAATTATACAAGAGCTCTCAATATGCTGAGGAAGGCATACATTTATTCTTAACATGATTTCCAATAAGTGTGAGAGTTAAAGTTTGAAAAGCTGCTGTTGCTGCTATAGGGAGAAACCAAATAAGTTCAGTCGTTACAAAGCTCTCTCCAAACAGCACGGAAATAGTTTTCCTGCCTTCAAACAGGAAAAAGCACTGAGGCCCAAACTTAATTTGAATACAATAGATGTATCCAATTTTAAATCATGTTTGGAACAGATCCAACAATATTATATTCTGAATTCAACCTGATATTCTACCGCTATTTCATGATTAGAAACAATAAGTTTATCACAATTTTTCTTAAAAAAAATGCAAGGAAAAATGGGCAGATATCCAAAGTCTAACTGCCCCCCCTCCCACAATCCCAAGATAGCCGAAACAGATACAACATCATTCAACTGATTTCAATTCAGCAAATGGGAACAGTTCACAAAGTACCCCAGACAAAAGTTTGTAACCAAATCGTCTGGCCTAATTAACAAAAATCAAAAAGTTCTTCACTGATATTTGACTCCNAAGTGGTGGAGGGACAATTCCTACATTATTCAAAGAACAGAATTCTGGATATTCTCTATCGAAGAAGTCTGTTCTTCATAACACAAGAAGGGTGGCATGGTTCAAACAAAGAAGGTTTTTGAGCACTTCCAAAAAAAAAACCAGTTGTTGATGTTCACCAGGCAGGAAATTGTTACAGAACTATTTCCAAACAGTTTGCACTCCCCCAGGCCACTGTCATGCAGATCATGTATAAATGGAGGCAATTTAATGTCATCATCGGATGGTCGACCAACCATATCACACCAAGAATAAGCAAATAAGAATACTCTGGGAAGTCTTAGATGTTATCTAGGATAACATCTAAGGAACTTAAGGCTTGCTTTTGAGAATGTCAATGAACATTGAACAATGGTGTGTATGGCAGGATTCAAGGAGAAAGCCATTAGTCTCCAAAAAGAACATTATTGCCTATTTACAGTTCCTGAAACATCATGTCAATAATCCAGAAAGCTCTTGGGACAATGTTTCAAAATAGAACTTTTTAGTATCAATGCAGAATGTTATGTTTCATAAAAAATTCCAGCATAAGAACCTTCTTCCATCTGTGAAACATGTGCTGGCAGTATGATATGCGTTTGGCACTATCTCCAAGTCAAGATAGTTTGACATCAATGATGGAACTATGAATTCTGAATTCTACCAGCAAATTCCACAGGAAAATGTCAGGATATCTATCTGTGAACTGAAGCTCCAGAGAAATTGTTATAAATGTAAGACAATAATCCAAAACACACAAATCATATGGCCAAAAAAGTGGTTAAAGCAGCAAAAAGTTAATGTTCTGAAATAACCAAGTACGGTCTGTAAAGGAGAATGGGCCAAAACTCCTCCGAGCCAAATATGCATTTACAGTAAGATTGATTAACCATTATCAGAAATGTTTAGTTTGAGTTATTACTGATCCAGGAGGCTCACCAGTTATTGAAAGCAAAAATTCAGATACTTTTGTCACACATAATTTTGGGAGTTTTGAATCTTTTCCCCCAGGAAATGAACAAATAATAGAATTGTCCTCATAAAACATCATAAGAGATGGAAGAGGATGATGCCAGTAAAGACGGCAATTCTTCCTTACATTCCTTAATTTTTTCATAATGAAGATTTTCCTTAACCTTCCCACAAAAACAAAGTCAATCTGGTAC